TATATCAACATAGTTATTCATGTCTGTGTGGTTAGTAATAAAAAAAAATATTCATTCTCTCCAATCCTGAATAAAAGAGATAATTAGAAAATTATTTTGATTCTAAACATAAGGCTCTGATCTATTTTATTTTTCAAATTTATAATTTTCTTCATGAACTCTATTATTTTGCATATTAAATGAGGATTTCTATGGATAGTTTTCAACTTAAACAATTAAAATTACATTTTAGAAAAGCAACATATTTTTTTACAAATAATTAATCTAAATAATTTTTTATTTTTATAAATTAATTATTCACTTCTCATATTTGAGACCGGAGAGAATAATAGCTTTTTAAATACAATGAATCTGTGTATGGAACTTAGAACTAAAATTCTCCGAACAAGAAAGAGGATGACGCGTGCAAGTTTATTTGTGGAACATGGGTCCCTCTGACCAAACTCCTGCTCAGTTTTTATTTGTGGATGAGTCCCATGTATAATTATATTTTCTCTAATTTAAATATAGAAAACTAGATGATTAATTTATAAAAATTAAAAAATTAATTAAGTCAATTATTTATGATAAATAAGTAGTGATTTTTTAAAATATTTTCTTCAATTATTTATATTGAAAACTATCTTAATTAATGAAAACTCCCTTTAATAAATGTATTTAATAGAAGAATTTGGAAACATAATTATAAATTTGTAAGGCGGAAGAGAGTATATAATATTACCATCTCTTTTTAACAAGACCACTCACTAAATTGAAATTGCACTATTATAAACTAGGACTAATTAGGATTCCAATTAAAGATGGACAAAACATCCCGTCAAGTATTACTAATCCCTAAAATAAGAACTAATTAGGAATTAAATCTGATCTTAAATATAAGATATCAATCAATTTTGTCTTTTATACTTACTATTTTTTCAAACTATTGCTATTGATTGCACATCATGGCTTGAAGTTCAAAGCATTTTGTTTTTCACCTCTTAACATGCAAGTTCAAACATGGCAGTAAACATTAAGAAATAGTTTCGATGCAAGTGATTTAAGATGATATTTTAGAAAAATCAATACATATTTTTTACAAGCAATTAGTTTAACTAGTTTTATTAATTTATCAAAATTAGTTAAGTATTAACATCTCAGCTAGTATAATACTACATTCAATTCTAATTACAAGACCTCATTTATAGTCTACAAACGAGGTCTTATAATTAGGATTGAAGGTAGTATTATTGTCTTTTAATTGTTTGCATTTAGTTCTTTGTATATTTATGAATATATTTCCGTGTTATTATAACTGAGCAAAGAAATTGGTTCTAGATTTGGTCAAAGAGATGGGTAAGCAAATATAGCCGTACATATTGCTTCAATATAATTCATTTGGCAAATGGGCAATAATAAGTCTAGTTTGTTCAACTTCCATCATTCATTATTGAACCACTTTCTTTATTTCTTCTTATGTTCACATTTTATTTTGCTTTTTATTTGTGTGGCACCTAAACAGAACAGGACCACGTTAATCACTTCCCATTTCCCACTTGTGTCTATTTTTTATATATTGAAAGGCTAGGGTTTAAGCTCAAGAAATCATTGATTCATTGTCCTTTATATGAATTATAAAATATCACTTATGTCTCATTTATCAGTCATTAATTCTATCTCAAAAATAAGTTTTCAACTAAGTTCCTATTAAATATACACACATATGCATCAGCATTTAATGAGGGGTTTTAGGGGAAACATTATTAGTAAATGTTTAGTATTACTTAAAATTGTTAAATGTTTTACAAAAAGAATTAAAAACATTTTTCTAGAAGACACTCTATCTGTAAGACTGGGGGAGTATATCTTTCAAATATAAACTCTTATCTCTATGTTGTCTTGTCATCTTAAAAATAAAGCAAAACATTATCTTCAAAGTTGACGTTTTAAAGAACTACTTCCTTGAAAGCCATGGCCATTGTGAATAAAATATTGTCACATGCCTTTTGTTTTTATGGGAAAAAAAAAAGCTCTAATGAAGGGGGGAAATATTTTTTTTTTTTTAAATACTGAAATTTGATACTATGAAGATCATAATTCCTTGTTGAAACCACACTAAATACTATTCCCGATCATTGATATAAGAGTTAAATTACTAACATTAGAAGATTAAAAAAATTGGTTAAATTGGTTAATTGTAACAAATATATGTTGATCTTCCTAAACTATCTTACATTTTTGTAATATATAAACTGCCCTCTTTAATTATGTGTATTGAAATTATTTTTAAGGGAAACTTTTACAATAAATAGGAATATTTCAAAGAAAACATTATAAATTTGAAAGATAAAATATGTTAGATCATATATTTAAAATCAAATTCAATTCCAACTAACTTTTAGATTAAAAATAAGAGGTATAATAATTTTTATACTACATCACCGTTCCATTCAATTAGACATTAATTTTATGCATTATTATGTGAAATCCGAAAATGAATTAATAAATTATTCATAATTAATATTTTATTTTTTTAACAACCATAATTAATATTTTAAAGTGATAATGATTGGTAGTCACAGGTACTCATATTAAAAGCAATTCTATTCGAGATATACTAAATATAAGTATATCTTTTAATCGAAATTTAAACTTTAGTGCATGATGTCGCGAGTGACTAGTTTTTTCACTGAACCGGTTGGCGCTTAAAGGGATAACATTGATTGACTATTTATTATTTTGTAGCAATACTGTTGTTGGTGGAAGTAAAGGTTAGCAAAATGCATGACGTGGGAATGGTGACAATGATTGTGAATTCACGGTTGACAAGAAAGTTTGGGTTACAATATATATACAAGATATATATATATATATATATATATATATAAAGGACAAACCATAATAATGGCTGCTTTGTTATTATATATAATTAATTAATTACATAAGAAGCATTATTAATCTCAGCTTTATTTTCCATTTCAAGTCATACATAAGGTTAAGATCAAAGCTATGAGACTTGTGATTAAATTTTAAAATTCATAAACAGGAAATTAAAAATGAAGAATAAATATATTGTTTCTCCACCAAACAGGAAATTAATTTTTTAAATTTCTCCAATGCTTCTTCATTTTTATCCTGAAAACGTATTAATAATCTGACTTGATGCATTGTATGAAATTAAATGTGAAGAACAAATATATTGTTCAGAGCTGGTATGTAGCTTGTAATTAATTTTTAAAATTCATAAACAGGAAATGTTTTTCTCGGCACTATCCTTAAAGGGTCCCACCTAATGTCACCTTGTCTCGCTCAGCTTAAATAATCAATATTCTAAGTAGCTCTAATCCAATCTCTTAATTAGTTCGAAAATTTGATGTGGTTGAACCAGGATTTGAACAAGCAAAAGTAACCTCATCATATGGGCTGATTCAATAGCATTTTCCGTAGTGTGCTAAATTTATGACAAATTTGTGGTAACATAAGATTGCAGCTTGCAAATATAAATTACTACCTCCGATCCTAATTATAAGAGCCAGTTGACTAATTTGAAAACATTAAAAAAGTAAGTTGAGTTAGTTATTTGTCCTAAATAGGTGTTGTCTTTCCTAAAATATCATTGCTAATCAAGTGTATTGACTAGAACTATCATTGTTAGAATACCTACTTTAGAAAAAATATATATATAAATATGAGAGAGAAAATAGATTAGGATCTTATATTTAAGACCAAAATAAAAATCAAACAGGATCTTATATTAAGGACCGGAGGTAGTACTTTACTAATTGAATATGAATATATATCTTCCAAATAATCCCAAGTCCAAGGCTTTTTGAATTAATATTATACAAGACGTTGAAATTTTGTGTTTTGCGGGTGAATGTTCACCTGCTTCCTGACAAATGCCTTAATTTAATACTTTTTTTTAAATTTTTTAATGTGAATATTTGCATATTTTAATTAGATAATATTATTTTAATCATAATCAGTCTAACCCCAATTTGTCCAATTTTCAGTACCGAGTTCCTTCCAAAAAGGTCCCTAGACTAGAATACTAGGTGTGATGGGGGGATGAAAGCATGAGAATAATTCTATTGACACAGTGCTCAGAAGAGTCACCCAAATGCTTCAAATGAGATACTTTTTAACAGATCGAAACATGATGATGCGGGGAGACCGTACTGTCAATGGAAATTCAGGACAACCAATAAAAAGAAGGGGCGGCATTCAGCTAAAAGCTTCAGCATATTTTATTACCAGACAAACAACTCAAATTTATTAAGTACTTGATTTTATAACAATACCCAAGAAAACCAAACAAATCGTGAATCATACATGAAGGACATCATTAGTTTATGTTTAGTTTAATTTATCCAACTTTATTGTAAATCAGACAATGATGGTTTTGGAATACAAACCAGAAGGGGAAAACCATCTCCTTTATAGAAAGCAATCACCACTAAGAAACTGCAAGTAGAGAATCTTTCAGGATAAGCTGCCCGCCATAATAATACCACCGAATAAAGATATTGATTCCCCTGTCGGACATCCAAAAAGAGATGGCTCCAATCTTTAGAAAAACCTTGAGCACTGGTGAGACTCTCATCCATTTAATTAGGCTATGTGACCCCATAAAATATACAAAGACGCCACTGCAAGGGAAAAGTATAGACTATTTACTTCAGGATTTGGAATCGAAAACGGCATCCCATTCACCCATGAGCTTCTAAGGGGTGTTTAGCATTCTCAAAACCACGGTTTCAAAAGCACTTTCCAACAAAACGGGATAACCTCCTTCATATATTTACTTCGTAATCCGTAAAAAATTTTTGAAATCATGATTTGGTTTTTATCCAAACATCCCCTAAGAGGAGAATCAGAACACAACTTCACAGAAACTAAAAGATATAACAATGCCTATTTTCTTTTGCGGTGGGGATATTAATGGATGGGTTTTCACTTTGAACTAAGTAGCAAGCCGGAAATGCAGGGGGCGGGGCAAAAAGATGACGAGACCAGTGCGCTGGATCAAATTATGGAATAAATTACAATTTCTCGAATGTTGAGCATACATCTATAGTAATAGCCCATACCTGGATATGGAGGCAACATGTATTAACACTCGTAGTCCCTCTTCAGGGCTATTACTAAGAGGCGCTCAATTTTTACAAGTTTAGACATCATCCTCTCGTTTCCATTGCAGCAGCCACTGACCCCCTTCATTTGCACATTCATCAACGCTGCTTCAAGCCAAGTACTTGAACAGATTAAGATTATCTTTGTCTCTTTCCAAGTAGTCACGAGAGATCAAATCTTCAATCCTTTTCTTAATTGCCTTGACATCGGGCTGCATAATTACATTCCAAACACATCATTAGATAGGGAATAAGACAGGCAGGCAAGCAGGAAATAAACCAAGTGGTGGAATATAGACCATGAACATGCGCCCTAACTGCTCAACACACTCCATTACTAACTGTTGGTAACCCAAAGCTTTTCGACTCTTCATAATACGCACAATTGATGCATCAATAGCATATCTTCTGTCCTTGTCAACATCATCAATTACTTTTTTCTTCTCATCTACAGGAGGAAGAGGAATCTGCGAGACAAAATGCCACAATCCCAGTGTAGTCAGTCGAATAGAGATTTAGATGACTGAAGGAAGCGCATGAGTTTGAGAGGGATACAGAGACAGGTACACATAGAGAGATAGATAAATTTAACCACAATAGCTTTTAAAATACCAGTACCTTAATCCTCCTCATTTTGTCGGTGAATTTTGAATTAAATTCAAAAACATCAGTGGATGATATTGTTTTGGTGCTTGGCTCCTTGTTAAGAATCTTGTACTTGGCACATGATAAGGAGTGAAGCAGTCTAATAACATCATCATCGGTCAAGTTCAACTGAGTCAATATCTCTGAATAACTCAATTTATCTGACGAATTAAAGAGAAGCAATGCAGCAGCCTGTTGAAAAAACGAGAAAAAACATTGAATCAGCATAAAGAAACCTATACAGGAATCACCGGACGCCCAAATATGTCAAATGGAAGGGAACACATACAAGTCATACTTTTATAGGAAAGAAGCATGTGATAAAGATTATAACCTGATAGGTTGTCACAACCAGCTCCACAGGTTTTGTATCAAATTTTCCAGTTATGTTGCAGGTGCCCAAGGAGTAAATCCACGTCAATTTTCTGTGCTTCGTTTTTGTTTGATAAAACTCCTTGAAAACTTCAACGCACTTGACCTATCAAAAATGGAGCAAGAGGAAGAGACATTAATGTGCAACCAAAATCGACCAAATGCTGGTTAATTAGTATTGAGCACTTGGCCAAAAGATTCAGATATACCATTTCCGCTGGAAGGTTGAGATCAAAAGATTTATAACTTGGCCAGAATCCAGTAGTCAGAACTGTGACTGTCAGGTCCATTCCTGGGTCTGCATTCGAATTTTCGTTGAGATACTCTTCAAAACTAGATTGGTTTTCCTTCGCCAGAGTCAAATCTGTAACCTGGTGGGAGCAACAATTGTTTAAATATTCTCTTTAAATATCCAAACATGGTACCTGAATGCCACATATCAAATCAATTCATGAGTTTTTTAAGGGAAACTTACCATTCCTTCCATCTTTGAAGTAAACTGTCCGCCACATTGTTGCTTCAATTTTGTCAAAATACTTCTCTCATGTTCATCATTGGCACTCTTGTCAAAGAGGAGCCTCCGAGCCAGCTTCTTCCTGCAGGCAATCAAGCAAGCCATTGTATGAGTATTACTCTTTCAAAGCATCCGATAGAAACACGAGATTGTTTTTGAGTAGCCTTGCGATACAGTCACAACAATGGCAATTGGTGATATGCTAAAAATTTGATTTTGGGTAAAAATGCACATTTCAAAATTTGCAGAAGACTATATTGACCATTAAGGTTAAACTCCTGGTATTAATATCATGATGAAACATAATGATTTCGCCAAGACCACAAAAGGATCATTTTGGTATCCCTATTATAGTTTTTTTTTTTTTGGCCAACGATATCTCCCATTGCCAACCTAATTCAGCCCATTTAGGGCCCGTTACAATGTCATTATCTTTTCCTTCCAATGCCGTTTATTTGTTGAACGTTCTTTCCTGACTATTAAGGGATTTAATGTTCAACATCATTCTGTTCTTATTCTTCCCAGTTATTCAACCCTAATTCATGGGATTGAGCAGCAGATCTGTTGCCGCCTCTGCCATATCTGCAGCATCGGCAAGACACAAAGGAATATATAGTTTTGGGCTTCTTCATCCCTAATATCAATAGTGAGCAAGAGGGAAACCCTCCACTACCCTCCACTTTTTTGTCCCACAAAGTCCATGGCCCTTTTCTAATTGAAATGTCTTGTGAGATTAGATAATGAGTATAGGACTAT